ACCGGCGGCCAAGCGGTGACAGCCCAGCTCATCGTCATGAGCGTGTGAGCTGCTGGTAAGGGGAGAATGAAAAAACCGAGTGCACGGCTGAAAAAACCGAGCTGGAATGAACACAGAAAAAGCTGAGGCAGCCACGCCAGAAGCGTCTCGAAGCAGTGACCTGTCAGAGGAAAGGCATCCATCGATATATATCTTCCGGGCAAAAACGTTTACTTCACTCCAGGACACAGCTTTTCTAGGATGTAGTTAACCAACCACTATGCTTGTCATTGAGTAATTGACTGTCTCAGAGAAAAACGCGACAAAGTAGCATGAGGTGACACACAGCAGTCACAGCAGGCATTGTAGATGTTTTAGCGCACTCTCGCTGTTCTGCTCGCGACTAGTCTTTGTACACAGCAAAGATAGTGTTGTGCTTCCGCAGAACGACGTCCACACAGAATTTATCAGGAAGAAGTCACGGTATGAGACACGCAGTTGGTTGGGTCTAGCGCGTCCGCCCGAAGCAGATCTGGATGGTGTAGGCATCTGTGAAGTTGCGGCTGTTGTTCCTAACCCAGTCTTCCCATCCACTGGACCACTGGACCACTCGCCAAAACTGCCAGGTTTCTCCATGGGCAACCCAGCATCTGGTTGCTATGGACTGGTTTGGCCATCTTTCATGGATGAGCTCTGGCTGGTCGTCATGGTATGTCCTGCTTCCATAGGACCAACAGAGGCACACCTGTCTCTGGTCATCCTGATTGACGCTGAAGAAGTGGTCGTCAACAATGCCAAGGTTCCCTGGCATGATGGCTGGGCAAAGAGGAAGACCTACGAGCTAGTGGGCTGCAAAGTAGTAAATAGCGCATGCATAGCCATAAGAAGGCTCTGTTCGCGTCCTAAAGGTTCATGTGCGATATGAATATTGCAAAAGCTTGTGGGGTGCGTGAAACTTCTTGCAAGTATATGCGTCACTGCTGTTGAGTAGAGATTTTGGTAGTTGGCTCAAGTTGTATGGAGACTTCTGCAATGTCACTGTGAGCACCGACAGGTCAGGCACGGAAAATGCACAGTCTGTTGGTGCAGGCGCTCTGAGGGTGACATGTGCTTCGCTCTAGATGTAGTTAAGAACCACTACGCTGTTCATTTTCTAATCGCCTCTCCTACAGAAACATGCAACAAAGTAGCACGAGGTGACACACAGGAAGCCACGCCTTGAAGAACCAGAGTTCCTCCGCCTGCAGGCTACCATCTGGGCCAATACCAATTCAACAAGAGTGAAAACAGATTTACTCCGAGGTGGGAGTAGATGGCGAATGTTCTATTGTTGAGCAATCTTTATTTATACCACACTACCCCTGCTTGCGCCATCTATGACCCAATTTTGGCAGCATGCCTGTTGGACACCCGAACTGTGTCCAACAGCAACTACTACTTACCACTAACACTAACACTAACACTACCACTACCACTACCACTACCACTACGACTACTACTACTACTACTACTACCACTACCACTACCACTACCACTTACTACTACTACTACTACTACTACTACTACTACTACTTACTACTTACTACTTACTACTTACTACTTACTACTTACTACTTACTACTTACTACTTACTACTTACTACTTACTACTTACTACTACTACTACTACTACTACTACTACTACTACTACTACTACTACTACTACTACTACTACTACTACTTACTACTACTACTACTACTACTACTACGACTACTAATACTACTACTATACTACTACTACTATACTACTATACTACTACTACTACTATACTACTATACTACTACTACTACTACTACTAAACTACTACTACTAAACTACTACTACTACTACTACTACTACTACTACCACGACTACTACTACTACTACTACTACTACTACTACTACTACTACTAACTACAAGCGCCCCGGACGTTTCCAAGGTTCGGGCTGAGAAGGTCGGGCCCCGAATTGTGCACTACTAACTACTACTACTACTACTACTACTACTACTACTACTACTACTACCACTAGTACTACTACTACTACTGCTACTACTACTACTACTACTACATACTACCACTACTACCACTACCACTACCACTACCACTACTACTACTACTACTACTACTACTACTACTACTACTACTACTACTACTACTACTACTACTA